CATATCAAAAGGAGTGATTGTAAGGATTTACTCATACGAGCAGGATGTCTCCTCTCCAACTATCATGGGTGTTTTCCTGAGATGACTCCCCAGTATAACCCCTCAGATCCAGTTTTCTCCACATCCGGGCCTAGGATAGTCTAAAACCAAATAAATAAAAATTAATCTCATAACAATGTGAGTAACTTAAACTTGCCACGTTCAGACCTGCATCTTCCTATCAACTAACAAACCCCAACTCCAGCTTTAAACACGTGGAGAGTTAAATAGATAGGAACAATAAAGACAAACCTTTAGTTAAAACAAACAAACAACGGCTGTATAAGCATCGAATCCTAGACTAGACCATCTGTAATGTCATCATCAATTTCCATAAACCAACCCATCTATCAATTATTCAAAGTACATTTTGTGAGGCTTTGTTGGGTCATTTGCTTACCTTTAGACTAAACATAGCCAGCTCTTTGTGTCGTCCTCTCTTTGCCTTGTTGAGTTGCTGTGTGCTTTTGCATTAAAGTTTTTTAAATTAGAAGTGAACCAACTGGACCTCTCTCATTTCAAGAAAAAAGAGAAGCCCAATTAAGTTGGAGCTGGAGCACATTGGACCCCGAAGTAATAAATACAAAATTCCCTTCCTTCTAGACATTGTGTAAATGTGGTTGATAATTGAAAGGTGAAGAGATGTCCACAATAGGATGCATTTTGACATCTTAGGATAATTTAGACAGATTACACCGGGACAAACAAAGACAATGACTGAGCGATCAAAGATAGCCATAGAAAAGATGTCTATAAACATTAAGGTTGTTTTTTTTAGTATAAATTTAATGTCGATATTTCACTATTAAAAACCAACCTGACCGACTAGCTTTGCCACCCAAACTGTTTGTAAAGCCTGAAGATGTCTGACCTGGTCAGAGAGTGACAGAAAGTAAAGGATTTAGAAAATGTTACAAGGAATAAAACTCTGCTGGTCCAGTCATCAGGCTCACACTTTCTTGACCACAAACGTTCTGAATATTAGTCACACATGAGGTCCAAAGTCCTTTCACTTCATAGGCAAAAATTTAGTGCAACAATAACAGAGTCAAAATAAAGCTGGAACACCATGCACAGAGAGGCTATGATTGTGTCTCCAAAGCTGATCAAGTGTGGTAACTACTGTAAGCCTGACTTTCTCTTTGCTTAGGCTAAATTTGGACAGGATGTATGGCCTAAAAAAAGTAGATTTTTAACATTTTTTTCTGAGCTAAATAAAGACAAGGACTTGCTGGCCTTAAAAAGCCATAAAAACTGTATTGACATCCAGTGGGTGCAGGAAAATCCACTTTTCCACAAAACGTTAACATCAGACAAACATCAGTCTAACTTTTCTCACTGTTGCCGGTGTATTTTATTGGTTGATTTTGATGGAGGTGAAGCACCTAGTTTCTGAAAAACAGAGATTTTGTGTTCTGGAGACAACGTAAGTGTGATTAATGGGTTTTAATGTGCTAAGAGCAGAAGCAGTATAAAGTGCAGAGTCACCGATGGTGATGGCTGTAACCAGCTTCAGCTTCTCTTGCATTTCAGCTTTTGTGTGTTTTGTGTTTGGGGGGGGGGATGTGCAAGAGGACTGCAGGGGTCTGCACTGTGTGCTGACAGCTGGCTTCTATAAATAAATGTCATAGGCAGGGGAGGAGTGACACAGGGGTGAATGGACAGCGGGAACGAGGAAAAAAAAAGGAGGGGAGGAGACGGATGGGTGGGCCGATAGAGAGGGACTGATGCAGATGCCTTGTGAGACCTAAAAGAATGTGGCGTAGTGTCCTGTGCTGCACTTTGCTGGGGGTCACGACCTAACGACACATGCCACCTGCATTTGATCCAATCAGGCCTTGTTGCCGCAATCATGTGACCATCCCCTTTACTCGGCTCTGCACATGTGTCACAGCTAATGAGTCTGTTGCCGTTACATTTTATCTCACATCTGCGCAGCCCTCTCAGCTTCCTTCCCTGTTGTGTCTCGACTCTCTGGCGTGACTCACAAACTCTACCAGTTCTAAAAACAGGGATGCAAAGAGTAAACAAAGGAAGGCACGTAAAAGGGATGAAGTCACAGGTGAACACAAGACTGGCTGTTCTGTTTCATATCAGGCAAACAGGAAAAGCAGAAACTGAACAAGGTCCAGTGTCTAAGCAGGATTAATGCTCTCTTCATGAATTTGTCATGCAGGTCGTCACTGAGCCCGGTCCCATCAAGCCGAGTGGACCAGCCGCTGTATCATTGACACAGGCTACTTTCACTTTGCTGCCTCCAGTTACATGCTCTCGACTTTCTAAAGCGCTGTGTATGTGTGTGTAATTTTGTTTACAAGGGGAGGGGGGCTGGGTTTGGTTTCCGGTCTTGGCACAGCTATGAAACACTGAAGAACAGCCCATATGATTCCCTGCCATACTCATTTACCTGTTGCATATCTGCTTTATCTCAACTGTGTTTCCTTTATGCTTGTTCCAGCGTTTGGGTGTCATTATGTCAAAAGCTTTTTTTGGGTTTAGTTACTTTGACGGGTAATTATATCTTAGAGGCTTTGCTGTTGCGTCATAGAAGGCGTAGAGGAAAGAAAAAAAATTAGCGATGAGGCAGGAAGACAGAGGAAGGGGATGATGATAGCATGATACCGCTAGTAATCAAGTCTCTGCACAATTATATCAGACGACTGTGAGGCCAAAAGAAAAGCACCAGTTTGATTTCTGCTTGTAGAACAAATAATAATCATGGCCATGTTTCCATTCACTGCTTCTCCCTCCCATTACAAGCCATGCACAGCTGGAAATGTGAGCATTTAAAACAATAATGACTGTCCTGTAGTCTTTTTTTCCAAATAAAATTGTGTATAGTCCTTTAAGCTCTGGCTATAAACAAACAGACTTTCTGGAGTATATAGTGCAGTGCAAATTCAAAACAACTGTTGCATGTGCCCTGTGCATTTAGCTTCTTTTCAAACAAAGTTTGGTGTTTAGGGCCTTTGTAGAAAATGTTTTCTTGTCCTGTATCATCCATTCAGCACCTTTTAGACTGCAAAACGATTTACTGGAAGCTTTCCTCTTTACGTTTGAATGCAAACTAAATATTATGTGGTTATCAGGACAAAGCATAAAAAAATAGGACTCTATTTAGGCAGGAAACTGACAAGGGAAGTTATTTCACACTAAAAAAGGCAATATTACACAAATCAAAGTCTAAATTTGTTTCAAAATCCTTTGGAGGATACTTCTTTTTGCTTAGATATTTTTTCACATTTTGGTTATGCTGCATTCTTTTTAAAGCTATGATGAAAACCATGTTGATTCAAACTAAGTTGTGTTCCTGTTGAATGGAGGTAGATAATGCAGGTTCAGAGAGTTAAAAAAAGCCTCCCATCATTTTGCATATTCAGGTCAACAGCATAGACAGAGGCTGAATGATCTGCTGTTCTTAGCTTCTCTTCCTTCACCTCATAAGGTGTAAGCAGTAAGAACACCATCAACAGTAGGAAATGAACTCTGGGCTGCTGTTCTGTATCTGGACACATCATGAATGTGATGGAAACACACATGAATGTCGCTGGTGAAATCAGGACTTCAGCCTCCAAGAAAAGAACTACAAAAAACAAAAGTTACATACATTCAACAAATGGTCTCTGACATAAAGCCCAAAACATGTAATGGTGTGTACAATTGCATGTGGTACTTAAGGGAAAGGGAAGAAATATAGTTTTTCCCTGGGGTGGGCTGTGTCTATAGGTCCTGTCATGCAAAGGATTGTGGGAATCTATATAGGAACATGGGTAGGTCCCTATGCTAAATGAACCATTTATGGCATACTGCTTCCTCTTCCTACGTCCTTTCTTACTGTCAGCACTATTGGGGCAGCACTTATCATAGCGACTGCTGACATACTTTGGTTTAAGTGTCCTGATTGATTTCCCCGATTTTGATGGAGCCACAGACTAAAATCGCTCTGCTTTCCTGTAAACAGGATGAAGGAAAATTTTACTCTTCGAAGCTAGATTAAGTCACCTCTGATGATGAAAGATGGAAAACCTAAATTATTAGCAACTTGGTTAGCTCAGTGACCATGGTAACCACAATTACTTATACAAACTAGCAGGATTGAAATGATTGATCTTATTAATCATGCCCATTCAATTATTGAAATAATCATCAACACATTTATTTATCAGACAATCCTTAACTGGAATGACTCTAAAGTTTGTAATTTGATTATTAAGCAACAAATTGAAAAAAATGGTTAAAAGATTAATTGATTTGCAAAATAATCCATAATTGAAGCTTTTGACATTTTAAACATTAGAACAAACTGTTCTCTAATTCAGTCTATTTATGAGTGGCAGCCATTTTGGATTTTAACTGAGTTGTCTGCGATTCAACGTCTAGATATATCTGACTTGAAAAAGGTCAAATTCAGTTTTCCAAGCTCAAACAAAAGATGCCAAGAAACGGCAGACCTTCCCAGAGTTAATGCTGTGGCGCAGTAGTAAAATATAGATTTATGAAGACATGGATGAATAGTTTTTTTATTTTCTGAGGTGCTGATTCAGCTTTCAGGCCACTCTGAAGACTGCTGTGCTGTTGATAGATAAATTTCAAAATGCTTAGTCATGTCATGGACTTTCTCATCCTATCTATTTAAAACAGAATAGGTTAGATGAGAGGAAAAGCACTTAGTTTTCTAAAAATGTAAGTATTTTTATAAACACAAGAACATGTTAAACATTTTTAACTGTCTTATAAGAAAAGATGCATGTATTAAGAAAATTAAGCATTTTAATGTTTACAAAGTAGTTAGAAGACTCTGGATTGGACTGTTTGTAAGGATTTCTCTTTATTTATAAAATCATTAAACCTGCCATTTCTAAAAGGCCTCCTACGATTTCCTCTGGTTTTAGAAGCCGGTACAACAACTCAGAGGGTGTCAATTATCTAAATTCTCTCTTGTCTCTGCTCTGTCCTTGCAGCCTCTTGCACAGTGGTGCAGGCTGCTGCCCAAAGATGCTGCCAAGATGCCAGAGAGTGCGTGGAAGCTGGTCTTCTACACCATGTCGTGGTCCTACAGCACCTACCTGCTCTTCTTCTCCTCCTACTCCTTCTTCCATGACCCACCCTCTGTCTTCTACAGTAAGGAATGATGTCACTTTATTCAGCATCTTTGTGCTTTGTTTTTATATTAATGTACTGGAGCGGATCCAGTTAAGGTACCAGTAATTGGAATTGACAGGAAATAATAAGTTGAGGTTCTCTTTTACTCAAACAATTCAATTCAATTTAGTTAATTTATATAGCGCCAATTCACAACAAATGTCATCTAAAGGATGATAAAGAAACTGATAAAGAAAAACTGATAAAGAAAAAAGGGGGCCCCATGTCCTCCGGCATTCTAAGCATATAGTAGCATAACTATAAAGATAGCACTGGATAACCTGAGCATGTAATGATGCAAAACCTCAGTGACACATGCAAACACATTGTAAGGCTCAGTCAACTCTTTATTAACAGAATATGTTCATTTAAAACTATTTACTGTTAGACACATTAGGTTTCATGCAGTGCATCATTTAAAACAGAAGATTTTTATGATTGTACCTTAATAGAAACCAGTGTCAATACATCTATAAGTGTTCTGCTAATGGACAATGGAGATGCCCCAGACTTCACATATATTCCACTCATGTCTTTTACGACCCCTTAGCCTCTTCTATTAGACACTGAGGTGTCAGCACTATTCCAGGGGGAAGGGAGGGGGGCTCACAACAGCCGATGGTATAAGAATAAATTTTGAAACAGCATTGAGAACCCACACTGTTTGAGGTTATAACCTCAACACGTTACAACCTCAAACAGTGGTGAATTTTATTGGGATGGTCCAATCAATACTAGCACGTCATTACAAAAAGAATTGGGACACTTGCAGAAAAAAAAAGACAAGTGTGGAACTCATTTGAATTTGGCCAGCTTGTTTTTAACCTTCTAAAGTAAATTCAGTTCTGGACTTGCATCTTTGCTATGTAGCTCTGACTAATACGAAATGTTCTTACTCACTATCCAGATATTCAGTTATGATCAATGGAAAAATAAACCTTTCTTGCATTTTACTCAAGTGAATTACCATTTGTTTCTCTGTTACATACACTTCTGAGATGGATGAAAAAGGAAAAAAGTTAAACAGTTTAAAAACTTCTGCAGGGCACTGTTTCTGTATCCAGAATGAAAGGTGGGAAGAGCTGCAGCTTTTGTGCCTCCATGCTTCTTCTTGGCTGCTTTTCAGCTTGGATCCATCTCTCGAGTCTCTCCTCAATGTTTAATGATAGAAGCGCTAATCAATAAACAAAACACGAAGCCTGAAACCCCATCCCAGTGGAGACAAACCTCGCTCAGACATCAGAGGAGAATTTCCGTCTAACATCCAATCTGCTTTTAGACTCTAGCCAGTCTCAGAATGCATTTAGGCTGGTTTTCAACTGAAAGACTCCCTAATGCTGCTTCCTCTCATCCATGGTCCAACTTAACATAAAGATGTGACAAACTGATCATATGTTAGAGATGCTTCTACATCTAAATTAAGATAACAGTCTTTAACATATATGAATTTAAGGCAATTTTTAAGCAAAAGCTTCAGGAGAAAATAGTATCCAACAGGATAAATTATTTGCAAACTTTCTGCTTTCTCACCTTATGATTAAACATATTTAGTGGGTGAAGAGCAGGAACAATTAACCCTGTGTTTCTCTCCAGTTATATCCTCACTGTACTGTTCCACCAAATTTCATATTCTATCTCCCCTTATATCATTGTGATATAAGTCCTCTCCCCCAGATCTAAATGAAGATTTTTCTTTAATCATTGTTTCATTATTTCCAGTTTTAAATAATTTTAATAAGTAGATGATTTATTTAGTCCTTTCATCACCTTCTCATATAACTTATACACTATTCAGGTGTTACTTAGTAACACAAATACAATATCTTTGCTTCTTAAAAATAGAGCTCTTCTGTTGCTCAAAATATTTTCTGGTGTCTGTTTAAACTTGGGTTTTATTTTTTCCACATTCATATTATTATTGATTAATTTGTTTATTATTTACTTATCATTTTAGGGGACAATACACATTCCTGACCCTGTGCTTGATTGTAGACTGAACAAAAATAATGAATCAAGATTGTAGAGATGGGCGCTATAGTTTATAAATCTTTACTCATATCCGATTAATCATTTTTTAAAGTTTTTTTTTGCCCTTAATTTTCATTAAAAAACTTTCATAACCTAGCTTTGATTTTTGATTTCAGTCAGCCCTTCTAGGAGGTGAGCTTAACTTTAAGAGCATCAAAATATAATCATGTTTGTTATAAAACATGCTTGTAAAATGAACATATTCCAGAACAAACAATGAAAGTATGCACACACTAAATGTTTGCAGCAGGTGATATTAAAAGGTTAGAGAATTTATTGAGGACACATCTTAGAAGAAAAAGGGATTTACTGAACCATCTGAGCTATGGAAGCCAAAAGAGTCCGTTAAAAAAAAAAAAAAAAAAAAAAGGATCTTTATAAACAGAAAAGTTGATTAATCATCCTGCCCTATAGGATAATGATAAAAAAGTCAAAACCACTGAATTTTTACCAGCCACATGAAGTTAAAAAGATTTAATTTCATTCCACTATTTCCTAGTTGTAAACAGATTTCTCTATATTAGCCTGTGGATAATGTCCAAATGATTGTGCTGTTTTTTTTTTTATCTGCATTTTATGCAACATCTTTGACATATTTTTTTATAGAACTTCTCGCCTTTTTTTCTCTCTGACCCAAATGTGCCTGAAAAGCATAAAACTGCAAATACCTTTATTATAGGTCATGTCTGCCCTCTGTTGAGCCATGCATTGAGTTGTGTCATGTTGCTGCCACCTGCAGGCAGAAAATCATACAACGTATTTATTGTTCACCTTGAAAACATGTTTTAGTAAAAAAAAAAATAACATGGTTGACTGACTATTTATAATAATCCAAATAAATGTTTAGATATTGTTTATGACAAACCCTGTAACCATTTTTGGCCATAGTTTTTTTTTGTATTTCTGAACCATCCTATAGACAATAAAAAAATGACATTGCTTAACACTGGGGCTGGGTAAAAAATCGATTCCTTTAAATTTTTGCAAAATCAATGTCTAGGGAATGAGATCGATTAGTTTTATAGTGACGCACCTGACGTTCACATTCAAATGAGCAGGAAAGAGGCACTCAAGATCACTTCAAGCCAGACAGCTGCAAATATAGCAATAGGTTAACTAAAGACATTAACAAATGGGGGCTGACCAGCAAACACCCTGTAGTTGTTACAGACAACGCTGCAAATATGGTTTGTGCAGGAAGATAATGCAGCTCATGCTTGTCTGCTCTGTGCCGGCTGTGTCACGTCTGCTTCCTAGAGTGAGGCTTCACATTTTCACTTTTCACAAACAACTTTGCACTTATGAGACAGTTTTGTTCATACCTCAGGTTTAAACTCTCTGTATTTTGATACACAGTTGAACCACTTTCATTATTGTAAAAACAGATCAACTCAAATAATCGATTTAGAACTTTATTAATCAAAATCAGGAAATACCCAGCCCTACTTAACACATCCTTTATAATCTAACATTATTCCCTTATCTACTCCTCCCCTCTGTGTCTTCAGACTGGAAGAGTGGTATGACAGTGCCTACAGACATCGCCATAGCCTACCTGATCCAGGGCAGCTTCTACGGCCATTCCATCTATGCCACCGTCAACATGGACACATGGAGGAAGGACTCTGCCGTCATGGTGGTTCATCACATCATCACTCTGGCTCTAATTAGCTTCTCCTACGCCTTCAGGTGTGAAAACAAAACAGGAGAGAAGTAGAGGCCATGACATCAGTCCGTTTCTTTAACAAAATCTACATCTGTCAGGTACCACAACATAGGCATCCTGGTGTTATTCCTGCACGACATCAACGATGTCCTGCTGGAGTTTACCAAGCTTAACGTCTACCTGAAGTCCAGAGGAGGTGGTTATCATCTGATCAATGATGTGCTGTCCAACATGGGCTCCGCCAGCTTCAGCATCACTTGGTAAACTTCTGCTGAAATCTCTAACCTCTTTTCTAAATCTCTTAGTCACCGGATTTTCACTATATAGCGCCTTCAGAGCCGCATCATTATGTTCAGCTGGTCTCACCTCTTTTTTTCAGGTTCTGGTTCCGGCTCTACTGGTTCCCTCTAAAAGTGCTGTATGCGACGTGTGTATCCAGCATCCACTCTGTCCCCAACATCCCCTTCTACTTCTTCTTCAATGCTCTGCTCTTCACCCTGCTGCTCATGAACATCTACTGGTTTCTGGTGAGCACGCTTAGAGACCATGTTGTCTAAAAGCCTCCACTTCAGACACTCCGTAGAAACTCTTTTTCTCCTCTGCTCTTTCCAGTTCATTGTGATTTTCGTGGTGAAGTTGCTGAAGGTAAAGGAGGTGAACGACGTCAGGGAGTACGAGGACGAGGACGCTAGGAAGGCAGCAGAGGAACTACTGAAAGATCCACAGGCAGTAAATAATGATAACGATGATGCTGGACATCATAACTTAGCTCAGAGGTGAGATGCATCTTTATTCTTTGTATTTTCTTTTGACTGTGATAGTTTAACTTTAGCTGCTATCCTTGATTCCTGTTTTGTTTAATTTGTTCAAACCATATAAAAAACACAAAACAAAAAAAACCCATCAAGAACTGTAAAAAGCAGGTCACATCTTTATTTCATCTACTGGGTATTCTGCTAGAAAGGGGTTTGAAATATCTATTTTAAATTCATCTTTTCATCTTGATATAAAACTCCCGGCATACTGAAGCCTGAGAGCTGAGAGTAACATTGACAGTGAGCAGCGAGGCGGCAGCAGTGGAAGTTTATCAGTGAAGCGTTCACCACATGCTTCGCCTTGGATTGCTCGTCAGAAAATGCAAAGCAGTTCTGGCCATCCTGTTCTCATTTGAAGCCTGCAGCGTCATCTTGTCCGCACCTTCCTGGCGGGGCTCCATGTAATTTAACATCCTTGGCAATAGAGGCTATCTCTGCTGTGGCTGCAACCCAAAGGAACTGTAGAGTGCAACTGAAAGAGCCTCCTTGTCAATGAAAACAGCCATCTGATTGGATCTCTTGCAATGAAGAAATAAAAAGGAACTCTTATAGTTGGAAGCACACTACACCTGTAAATTGTGTATATATTATAGTTGCTGAAAATTAAGGTAGCTGGGAGTTTTTCAGGGTGTTGTTTTATTGGATTATTTATTTCTAAAGCTCGTACCATTGCCCTCTGCTTGGTCGTGGTGGCGTTAGACTCCCAGACACTTTCCTCTTCCCAGACACCTCCTCCAGCTCCTCTGAGGGAGGCCAGAGGTTTTCTCAGGCAAGCTGAGAGACATACTTCCTACAGCATTGTCCCCTGGGCTTCCTCCCTGTGGAATGTTCCTAGAAAACCTGCCAAGGGAGCGGCAAGAGAGCATCCAAAACAGAAACATGCCTGAGCCACCTCAGCTGCCTCAGAGAAAGCTCATAGCAGCTGCTTGTATCCAGGATCTCATTCATTCATTCATGACCCAGATTTCATGACAATAGGTGAGGGTAGGAACGCATACCGACATTTTCTAAAGCTGTCAAAGAAAAGTCCAATCAGGTCAAACAATGTTAGGCATCAGAACCTTGATTGACTGATTGATCAGTAAAACCAAATTTTGTGTTTTGTATTTTTGTATGATTCCTACTAGCTGCATTTGCTGGCATGCTTTATGTTCTCCAGCATTTTGTACAGAAATCCCCCCCATATTCATCTTTTCATGCTTCTAAACAAAGTCCTGTGTTTCCATCTCTACAGTAAGACTGAAACTGTTGGTTTAGGTGCTGAAACCTCCAAGGGTCAATGGAACGATCCACTAACACAGAGAAATCGGTCTAGTCCAAGGCTTAGAATAAAGAAGAATAAAACTGAAGGAATTGAGCCAAAGTTCAGGAAAACATCTAGTTTGTATCTACTTTGAGATAAGTATTTCTTTAAGTAGCAAATATTTCCCTCGTATGGGAAACTGTTGTTATATCACATTATGTCTTAAAATGCAATGTCCAGTTATGTAGGTTAGCAACTAACCTGTAACCTCTGATGCCCTCAAACCAGCTGTTGAATAGTCAAAACACAGAAAGGCATTACTTTGGATTTGTTTTTCTAATCAAAAATATGCAAATGACTTTAAGACTTCTGCTGGCAAGCTTAGATTAAAGCCCCATTCTTTGTCGTTTTTAACCAACCGAGGCCTTTAATCACACACCTCAAACATTATAGGATGTTTTTTGACACTTTACTTAGTGCTTCTTTTAAAGCTGCAGTATGGCACAAGCCACTGTTATCATTTTGCAATAGTGCACTTTAAACTGCAAACTGCTGACTGAAACCAAAGTGTATCTGTTTTTATCTGGAAACCTGCCTTTAATCTCAGTGTTGACAGCATCATGCATCCCTATCATGGTAGCTTTTGACCTCTGCAGACTTGAAACCTTGATGTCTCTTCTTCAGATCCCTCCCTTTTGTTTTGAGCCCCAACAAAATCTAACTCCTAGATGTTATATTGTGATATAATCTTATTGCTTGGTCTTTCCTGGTGGTGCTTTTGATCTTCCTGGTGCAGAACAACATAATCATCTTCAGAAGGGGCCCAAAGAGCATATAGAGATGTGATTACACCCTTATCTGACCAGCCTTGAACATGGCTGATATCCTTTGTACCAAATGTCTCCCATCTGCTAACTCCCACCTCCCCACCTTTCGTGCACAGTATTCTTACTCCCCACTCTCCTGTCTGTATTTCTCTTTTTTCTTGCAGAAAGCACGTACAGAACGGGGTTACCAAGGACAAGTATCTATAACAGGGCTCTCCACCAGTGCCATCATCTGGCTCTGGTCTGCACCCGCAGGCCCTCCTCGGACAGCAGTCGTTCAAAAACGTGACCGAACGTGGAGAGCATAACAAACATGAAACAACAGGAGGAAACAAGAAAAGGGAGGGAAAGTTGGGTACAATCAGTTTTTGTTTAGTTTTTGTTTTAGAGCAATTTATTTTCGGTTTTATTTTATTAGAGCACTGTGAATGTCATTTCAGCTGACTTTCTGTCTTACTGTTGTCAACTTAATGTATGATATAGACCTAGTGGAAACGAGGCTTTTTAAGGGAGGAACAGGCTAGACCCGTTCTGATTTCTTCGAATAACCTTTGGGAACCAAGGGAACAAGCAACAGCCGGATCATGTTGGGGTTATTTGTTGATTCCTTCTCCCCTTCCTTTGACTTCCATCCATCTGGTCTGATTTAATATATGAGGATTATCAATGCTAATCCTTTATCTGCTTCCCAGCTTCCTGCATCCCTTTGTTTAAACTGAGAAGCAAGTGCATCATTTGCATGTTCCAGGATGTCAAGAGCGTACCTGCAGCTTTTAAAGCAACAGACATCCTTTATTTCATAACACTTATCTCGGTGACTTAAGATCCACATGAACTTTGAATATTGCTTAGATTCCTCTATGGAAAGTGCTGCTTTTCTTTATTTTTGTCGTTTTGTCTCTTTAGTGGCGTGGTAGCATCTGTTGCTGCACTGACATGAAGGCATACAAGCTTATTGCTGGTTTTAATGACAGCAAACAGCTAGAATTGATTGACTGGGTCTGCACATGTTATTCTAATTTAATTTGTTTGAAAGAGATTTTAAATCATGTTTATTGTCTCCAGGTGGCGAATGATGATGGAAAAGCCATCATGATTAAAAATCCAATATATGCACTCGCTCTAGTATTCAGGAATGCATGATGTCAGAATGATTTCGAAAACATGCAATGTGTTTTTCAAAAATCTCCTATCCTTCTGATCTTAACTTTAGAGCTGATTGCTACAGCTGATCCCAGAATTAGCTGAAAACTGAACGTACAAATCAGTGTTTTACATATTCTCCAAGCGGCACCTAAACGCGTCTTTTAGATAAATATGATCAAACATACATGGTAGGGAAAATAAGTATTGTCAGTGTTCTCAGCAAATGAACTTTTAATTGTGTTACTGACAAGTAATTCCCATTATTCCAATTTTATAAAGCACTTTAAAGAGCCAGCACGGGACCTAGATAATACACAGTTAAAGGTATAGTGGAGGTTGTTCTCTTTCTGGGTGGATCATCAAAAAATTTATCCTCCCAATTGTCAATAATTCTGGTGATATGTTTACGTAAGGCCTTCCTACATGCTCGTAGTGGTGACATAGTTGAAAAATAGCAAATCGTCTTTTGGAAAGTAAGCTTGTATGAGCGATGCACAGGAACCTTTAAAGAGCGAGCACGAGGAGAAATGGGCTCCAGCATGCTCTCACACACGTTTCCCACTCGGGAGCGGGTACAGGGTTGTGCATGTGCTTTTTTTTCAAAGTCAAGAGGTCAAAAATTCACAAAAATCCTCCACTATACCTTTAAACAGAATTTAGATTTAAAAAAATGTAATAAATAACATTATTTTATGGACTGAGCAGTCCTCTGGTCATTTTGGGTGTGCAAAGCTTGAATGGCCAATTTAGAAAACACAAGAAAACAACTGTATATAAAAAAACAACAAAACAAACAGCTAAAATATCAACTAAAAACTTAAGGGTGCACTGATTGCAGTTTTCTGGCCTATCATTGATCTTTATTTTTCTTATATCTTAACACTTTCAGATGTCATTGACAGATTTTAGGAATTTGTTAAGGTAGATAAGATGAGATTGGTTTCCCATATACATATCATCTGACTCCAGATAACACAAAATCAAAGAATCAGAGCCAATCACCCAATGCAGACGAAACAGCTGATATAAAAATGGCTTCAAACCAACTTCACAGGGTGTCAAATGCCAGGCTCAAAAATAGGATTTTAGGAATAGTAAGAGAAATTATTGAACACAATGAGACATCAAAGGCACAGAAATCCCACAAAAACAACAGAAATCTGTAATGATTTTAAAATGAAGGTCTGTAGCTATTGGTGCAACCTAATTCTGGTTGGTTTAGTCCTAATTAAAGGCCTTTTTTTTTAGCTGTTATTACCAAAGTACCAATAGTTGTCCTGATTACTGCAATACATGCTGATTACATCTGTTACAGACGAGGGAACCAAGACCTCCAGAGCGTCTGTCTACTTACTCCATACAAAGCATATCTTGAAGTTAAAATACCAAAACAGGCTTTTAATTAGATTTCAGAAAATAAGTATTACATTTATTCACACATATAACATTTTAGCTACTTACTGATATAAGTATGATTTGTAAATGAATATGTTTGGATGTTCTTTTACGTTTGTTGCTGACTTCTGGTGGGAATCGCGTGTCAGTAATCACATTAATAGTATATGCACTGTGATGATGCTGCTGCTGTGTTCAATACTCATTTTCCCAACTGTATAAGATGCACTTTCAACCAGATAAAATTGGATTTAAATTGTTATGTCAAAACATTAACTATAAATTGAAAACCTAGGACAAAGCAGATTTTTTTTTTTAAGGTGCCCGCTTGTTTACTGCATGTGTGTTGAAGAAAAAAAGGAATGTCTACCTTCTCGATCAAATTCCAGCTCTTGTTTGGAGGAACAGCATGCTTGTGCTGCCTGAGCAGGCCGCAGATGTTAGGGGTGGGGTGGACGGGTCTGTTCTCTTTTGTTTCTGTCTTCCATCGTCCTCAAATCAGTGTTTCAGGAAACAATCGAAGCTACCTTATAATTTGTCTTCATATGATGAATATCGTCGCTGTAGTTAATTTTGTTTTGTTGAATCGCTACTGTTTTTATCTGAGAGAATTGTTTGTATTCTAAATGTTATATATTTTTTTCCTGCTGATGTCAGTGACAGTCATGTTTATCAGGGGACCACTGCTCACCTTTATCATCTGTTCCTGTCTATCATGCTGATTTTACTGTAGTACATCTGGACTGCAAACACCTCGGTGTGTCCGACATGTTCATCTTCCCGCTCAACTCTGATACTCTAATTTATTTCTTGTAATGACAGCGATGGTAGCTGTGAGTGTCCGTAACCTTGAAATCTGCGATGATCTGGATGATCCAGCACGGTTCGTCACACTACATCAGAGGGCTATGACAGGACGAACAACAAACTTTCTCTTAAAGAGGGCTCCACTTATCTAGATGAAGTTGTTTACATCTTGGTTTTCATCCCTATAAAGCCTCAGGGTTTGTTGGCTTTTGTGGACATTTTTAATCAGTAGGGTTTTAACCAAAATATTTTAAAAATCATTGTCCCCCTTTTTGAGGCTTTGAGACACTGACATTAGCAGCTGCTAGTCAGGATGTGCAAAAGCCTTAAAATAAAGCAGTCTTTTATTGTAAATGCTTTTTTAAATCAGAGGTAAAAAATGTATCCATTTAAATAAATGTTTGAACCAGAAATACCAGTCAAAAAGTTCAAAATTAGATAATTTCTCTTTATCAGAGTCCATAAAATGTTTAGTTTTTAAAGAACCCCTACTTCCCTGCACAAAAGATTCAGAATAAATCCTCCACGCTGCTTTATAGCAAATGTTTGGTGCTTTTCCCCAAAGTCACTCTTTGATTTATGCTACCAATGTTGAGTTGTGATTCACCCTAAGGTGCAATGTTAGTCTCATTTGGTCAAACTAGTTTGAATTAGTTTGTTAGTTTATTTTTCAACATGATCGGAAAATAAAGAAGTGAAAGAAACAGAGAAGTATAACAGAATCATCTATTCTATGGAGTTTTCCCACTTTATTAGAGCTCGATGATATGTTCCTAATGGGACCAACAAAAGTAAAAATTTATTGAAACTTTGATCAGAACCTCAATCATCAGGCATTAGTTTAGAGTCATATCCTGATATAACAGAAAAGTCTGATTTACCAACAACTACTCCCTAGAAACTTGAAATATTAATAATATACAACAATACAGTATTATACAAGATTTTTTTTTCCCCACTGGAAAATAAAAGCACTGAAATTAAATGTTGGAGAATTTGAATATTTCCAGTGTAAGATTTTGTTGCTGCAGTGAAAGGTACATTTATTTTATGGCTTTCTATACATCTTTACAAGGGGGTGCTAATAAAGTGACCAGAAATGTAAATGCTTAGAAAATCACAGCAGATGATTTAAAACAAAAGAAAAACAAATGTGACCCTGCCTATGAAAACCCAGCTAAAGTCATTTTTTGGTGAATCTCAACTTAATGTATAAAACCATTCTAAACAATCTTAAGAATGGTTTTATACATTAAGTTGAGATTCACCAAAAAATGACTTTAGCTGGGTTTTCATAGGCAGGGTCACAAATGTTAGCATTTCATTAAAACTGTAAAAATAAGAAAAAATATAGATTACACATTAAGCTGACCTTAACTAAATGATTTGAGATGTTTAACATTTTGGTGCTGATTTCAACACCTAATGTCGACTTATTAAAGGTGACCTATTGGTAATGCAAATAAATGCAGGAGGGTAAAGTTGAATAGTTGGGTTGGACAACCCATGGCTGTATTACCAAAATTCAGCCAAAGTTTGTTTTTTAATTCTCTGAAGGCAGAAATAACAAAGAAATCCAGCAAATATGGCAAGCTGAATTGAGCAGGCCATATCAATGTAGAAATCTGCTGTCCTGTTCCTTTACAATTTCAAATTTTGCACAGAAACTGTGATATTTAGCATGAAAGGTGAGCCGGCTCCATCAGTGCTTCAATTGTGCCAAAAAATGTCCACTAGAAAAAAATAAAGGGAAATGTTTCTGGGTGATTGAAGCCGAAGAGCTGGTTGAGTGTGACGGGCACAGTGATGCTCTGCAGGTATTTCCTATACATTGCACTGTCATTTGTATTATTTGTATTGCTCATTAGTAGATCAAAACAAAAAAGAAGGGAGCATTTGAGAATTTTTACCATGACTGAAGGATCATTGACTAAATCATATTTTGAGATGTATTTTACTGTTTTTTTGGACAACTGATTAACACTGTAAAATATAAGAATAAATTAATTTCCCCCAACTTTTTTCTGTTTTATCATTTTTTGCAACAATAATTGTAAAAAAAAAAAGAAATGCACATGAACAGAAAAAGAAATCCCATTTGTCAGTTATTTTTAAATCAAAATTTTTTTAATTGCAAAGATCAAGTGCCACAGATGAGGTGAAAACAGGGTGCAGAGGAAAGCTCATTTAATTGCACAAAACAAACCGCTCCAATAAATTATTTTTAATTGTACCACACCATTGTCTCTGTTGGTAAAAAAAATAAGTAATAGTTATCATGGATCATGCATGAACCCAAAAAAAGCTAAAGCAGCTTAAGACCCAAAAAACAGAAAAGGCAACATTTTAGATTTAGCCATCAAGGTATTTTCTGTGCCATTCGTTCACTTGAACTCATCCAGTGTTTTCAAAACTCTTAATGTTTGAGGTTTATCTAGAGTCAATATCGAATTATTTATTGCAGACAAATGTCATTTTAGAGGTTTATGTAAAGACACACTCCAACCACCAACATGCTATGATATGGTTAAGAAACACGTTCTGATTATCCACCACCACATATTTTCAATAATGATCACCGTTTAATCAAAGTAGCGAAACGTCAAAATCGTAAATCAAAGAAAGTCACACAGCAAACAAAGTTAATAAGTGATTTATGGCAGAAAGGAAAAAGAGAAACACACAATTAGTTTATTTGGGGAGCCTTTCACAAATCATCAAGAAAAAAAAAATTCACATTTTACAGTCTTCTCTGTAAACAGTACTTCTGAGGAGTATTTGTTAAAGCCTTAACATTCACATGCTCAAAACATTTTTGAATGTATTTTATTTATTGTTATATTGATCATTCCTGTTGTTCATACTTGAGTTCTAGCAAAATGTTAGTTAGAAATCTAGGGTTAAAATGAAAGTGACAGACTGTCACCACTTAGAGATGCAGGTTAAATTGGCACAAAAACTATAAAAGGGCAGAAACATTACATGCTTGGAAATTGACCCTCTCATACAAATTTCATATGTTTTAGGGACCATTAGTAGCAAAAAAGAAGAATCAATGCTATGAATTTTGTAGTACATCTCAAATGTATGTGAGATCAGCGTTGAAAGAAGCTAGAAAATGTTGCATCTTTCCTGTAATCTCATTTCTTGCCAAAACAAATTCAAGCCTCAACTGATCAGTTTCTAGCTGCCTAAAAGGACACATCAGTCAGGCTCACAGAGTACTGAGAGGTAAGGAAATAAAAAAAAAAAGGATCAACACGGAGAAACAAACATCACAAATCACGACTCCTGAATATCGTGGTCTGTGAGACCAGAAAAAGTTGGCAGCAAGACAGGATCTGACATCATAGTTTGTGCATCCGGGGAAGGAAATGGAAGTGACGTTTCTGGTCCTGATCAGAACAGCAGCTCGGTCCAGCTTCTGCGTTCTTACTGGCTAGAGTGTCTGGATTTGTGAAAGGAGGTACAGTGAGGACTGGAGGACAGGGAGCCTCAGTGGACCTTTGCTTTGGGCAAAGTTATTCTCCGGACAAAGCTGTAAAGAAGTCCAAAGTTCTGCAAGTAAAGAGAGAGAGGGGAGACTTGGTCAAACTCTTACTTACAGACATCAACCTCTGTTACTGTTCATTTAGGTAGCTGACAAATTATTGACAAACTTTTCTTTTTACCCTCACTCTGATCTTACAGCTGACTTCTTCTGTTTTAGGTCAGATGGGATTTCAAAATTCATTTTATTTGCTAAATGCCAATGAACAAAGAGAGACAAGTTTTTGCATTACTTTCTTTTAGGTAATGCAGGTTTACATAAATGTTTCTTAGTATTCAGTACAACTTCTTCTAAACTGGGTCTTTGGTCAAATGTTTTTGGCATCTTTCTTCAAGTTTCTGATGACTCCTGAAATTCTGACCCATTCCTCCTGAGACTGTCAGAGGAACAGAAACCGGAAATGGCATAGGCTAACAATATTTTCTATTTTTAAATATATAAAAAATAGAATAGTTTATATTTGTGTATGAATATTTCACACCTGCTTAAATGCATGTATTCACCTCTGGTACGACTTCAGAGGAATGTGATGGTGAGGAAACATTTAAACACTGCAGGCGCTTTGACCTTCTCTATTCTCCACCTCACCGTCTGTATCAGTTTCCCCCCTTTCCTCCATAATGAGTGAATGAATGGGTCAGATTTGGCGTTAGTGACTTCACGTCTCCATATCAAGTTTGCTTTTTGATAGATCACAACCTTTACTTGCAAAGTGACGTACAAGATTTTGTGTTTAAACAAGCTTACCCCACTCCAGCACAGCTGATTTACATTGATAGTTGATTAACGGGCTTTTTCTGAACTGCAGTAATCAGAATCAGCTGTGCTAAAGCAGAGAAACCTCTAAAAACCTGCAGGACAGCAGCCCTCTAGGACCGACTTTGGAGATGCCTATTTTAAATGATTCCTCAGGCCAATATACAGAACTTGACACTATCAATGCTACGTGCGGGGCTGCCCTCTTGAAATACCGACTATGTAAGTTGGGAGTTGACATACGGTCATTGGCCAGGTCATGTGACCTGGAAGAACATATGGCTATATGGCCACAGGCTCTTATACAGTCAAAGAGCTCAGGCTCTTGCTCTATTATAAAGAAAGCTAGCAGACTACAGACAAAAGCTAATGACCCCACAGCCTGAATGTGTAAATCTCAGGCATTCCACGCAAACGACTGAGTACTATTTTTCATAAATCAAAACCACTAGAACATGGCAGTAAAAATCTCTTACGCCCTTGATACTGCCTCGTTGATTTATTTTTTTTTTTTCATGTCATTGGCAGAGCAGCTGTTTTTTCATGTGTAGAGCTAGCAGGCATACCCATAGTCAGCCCTCAAGGGCTGCTGTCCTGCAGGTTTTAGATTTTCCCCTGCTTTAGCACAGCTAATTCGGATAATTGCAGTTCAGCAAAAGCCTGTTAATTAGCAGTTAATAAAAGTCAGCTCTGTGAGAGCAGGGAAACCTCTAAAACACTGGTGGCTGGCCACCTGATGGTTTACTTTTGCAACAGGACTGCAGCACTAGCGCCCCATGGTGTGCCTCTAATATCTTTCATAGCATGTATTAAATAACTGAACTGCCTAAACTTTAATGAGCAGTAGTAAAGGGTAAAATATCCTTATGGTCTCTCCACTAAACTCATCTTTAAGACCTGGACGTCTTAAAGAAGCTACTTTCTGCTGCAGTGATACCATGACTTACCTGGATAGCCAGATACATCATTCCTAGGTAGGCTGCAATGCAGAGAGCCAGCAGCAGGTCAAAAATAGCTGGCTTCACTCTGAGAAAAGGGGGATAGAGGTTGGGAGTCAGAAATATGGAGATCTTTGGATTCAGGTTTTGATACCTCAATAAAATTGTATTTTAAAAAGAAAGTATCAATTAAAACTTCAGCAGCCGTTAAAATTAGCAGTAAGCTTCACAGTTTTAACAATGTCACAATAAGGTTGTCCATCTTAAACAATCTGAATTAAGACAAAGATTTTAAAAACAGATGGTTCTCTCACACTGATAAGATTCCTGTTTCACCATTTAGTGGAACTTTCTAACCTGAATGAAGCTAAAAAAACATTCAAACATATGGTGCTGTGTAATAATAGTCAAATATATATTTTCCATGTCTTATTATTCTTAAAAGTGTACAGACTACATCCTAAAAAACATAAAATAGAGAAATAATTAGATTTTTTTTTTAATCACCCATTTTTGTAAAACTATCTCCATAGAGTAGATTTAAATATTTTAGACAAAAAAAGCAGTTTAAGCCGCATTAGAAGTAGAGTCTAGGATGAGCTGAAATATCTTAGAGCAGGTGAAGTCGTACCTGTAAGCATTCATAGTCTGCTTCAGCTGATCGTAGAAAACAAACTCTGGATCCCTGAAAAGGACACATTGTTACTGATCAATATCAGTAAGACATGTACGCTCTGACATGGGTATATTTCTGCATTTTACATTTTTATTTGATTCCTATAAATACTAGATAAAAAAAAAAAGCCTGATGTCATTTTTGAGGTTTAATCTGCGTTCCAGACATGTTCATGTCAATATTTTCAAGCTTTGTCAGCCTTTATAATCATTATAAAGATGGGATAAAAACAGTCAATATGAATTTATAACAGATCTGTTGGAGAAGCACAAAATAAAAGTCTAAAAGGGGGGGGGGGGGGGGATGCTTTCTCTAGGCTATCTAGGAAGCTTGGATTCACAGAATAACTACTTTGATCTGTGCACCAGTGGTCTTTGTTCCTCTTTACCTTTTGTCAGCTTTGACGTAGTGTCTTTTCACATCTTTGAGATAATGGCTGAGGTGATATTCCAGCGTGGAGACAACGTTGCTGTCTTTGTCCACCAGCTGAGCAGCTCGAGGCTGTGCTGTGAGCCAGTCAACTACAGCTGACAGATGCTCCTCCTGCACCTGCTGATGAGGGAGACCAAACACTGACTGCAGAAGCTGGATCAAGTCTATTCAGTCACTCAGATTATGTACAGAAAACTATTAAATCCTCTAATTGACTCGCATATAAATTGTGATTTAGAACAACAAAATAGATTAAATAAAGCATCAGACTGAAGCTACTTACCATTTGTTCTGTGAAAATCTGGAGGTCTCCAGGAGCTCCCTTTGCAGAAAAGTCAAAGAGACAGACAGACAATATTACATGTCAAAAATCAGATGCACGAAGAGGGATTCTAATATTTGCTGTTGGTTTTTACTTTTTCTGTTAGGTTGTAGATGACCCTCGCCAGAGCCTCAGCTACCACCTTGGTGTTCCTGCTGAGCTTGCTGACATCCACATGAGGTCTGTTAGAAAACACAACAGGTTATAAAACAGTTAAAGCAGACGAATGAGTCTCTGCTGTCCAAACAGAAATAAACTTTAAACTTATTGTAAAACACTTGGAGTGAAAAATTGGGCACAATGAGTGCCTTAGGGAGGGCCTAGTGTAACCACTGGGGGGACTCAGCATCACCCAATAAGTTTTAAGAAAAGTCACACAGCGATTACAAAGTCATGTGTAAAAGCAACATTTGTCAGGTTATTTCATCTCACTCTATAAGAGAATAACATATTTAACCATATGGTTAGTTTTTACAGCCCTGGATTACACAAGATTTGTGGTTGAGAGGCTAGAAATCAAAGAGAACAGATGAAACATTGAAAAAAAAAAAAAGTAAAAATGTGCAAATGTCTTCACATAATGCTGCCTCTAATTTCAGAAAATCCCCTTCTCCACCTTGACGGGACAAAAAAAGCAAGTCTGTGCGGCAACTATAGAAATGAATAGAAAATCCCTTTATTGTCCAACAATATTCTGGTGTTACAGCAGCAAAAAGATGCTATGCTGGTTCTGAGGAGGACATCAGGTAGATCTTGTGCGAGTAATACTGACGTATGCGCTGCTGCTCTTGATGTCACCGGCTTTATTAGTATACAAATGTTGAGAAGCCACTAAGACACGGAGGGGATGAGATGCAAAATAGAAGCAAAGAAACTCAAAGATGGCTTTACGTAGCTTAAATCAGTTTTCTGACATCTACAACCATCAAGGTAGGTAAATAAAAAAGGGCATTTGAAAAATGATACCACATGAGTTGGGTTTGGTTTAAAAAGCTAATGGCTGCTGAAAAAAAAAAAAGAAATCCAAAGAATAACGTTGAAAGACCGAACTAGAGGAAACAGAAAGACTGAGCCAGCAGACTGAGGGTGTGATGAAGGATTTCTGGAAACCCACTTTGCTTATTTTACCTCAAGAAAAAGACAGAAACCTTTGATAAATGTATCTAAAAAAAAAAATAGCAGCTTAAAAATACAAGTAATTTGGAAATAAGGGATGGAATAAAGCTAAAGAAAAACATCAATCTAAACTGCATCGTTCAGCAAACATTATTTCACCATGGAATGGGAATTTTACTCCACTTGCAATAATGAACCCACCCAGCAGGGGGCTCTCCCGCTCCATGGCGAGAGGAGGGGGACACTGACCGCACGTCCATGATGCTGGAACGCTGAGCCGAGCGATGCGACGGCAGGTGGGAGAGAGTGAAGGCCGGCAACCGGCGGATCCCGAAGCGCTCGTGCTCCCAGGCCAGCATGTCCTCAGCTAGGTTGATCTTCTTGTGAACCATGGAGAACTTTACCTCAGGGTACTGACTTGAAACCACCTGGAAGAATGTAATAAACAACTTAAAAAATTTAGCTTGAATGTTTAGATCCTGGTAAGGATAAGTTGGTTCATGCAGAGCAGAGGTCGTCCAATTTGTTTACCATGTATTAAACCAAAAAAACTCATTTGATTCAAAAATGTTTTTGTATATTTTGGGTGAGATAAGAACTGAACCATCTGCATGTGTCTGCAGACTGTGGTAGAAATAAAACATGCAGCAATGCAAACTTCGATTTCTTCTATAAACATAAAAGCAATTATTTTGCTAAATAAATGTATGATCTTACAGTCTCCAGTTCTTTAAGTAGAGAATACTGAGGAGTTCCCTCTTTTGGTGGTTTAGACACATGAAGGTAGAGAGAGTCTCCATTCCCAAGAGTGTCCAGGCACAACACAAAGGCTACATTGTCCTGCAGCAAACTGGAATCTAAAGGCAGCAAAACAAAAATATTGGAAGCATATAAATAAGCAGAAAAAGTTTAAGACTCAAACTTATTTTACATCCTAACAGTTTTTTTTTCCAAGTCAGATGCAAGTCCAAATGGACAGACTTCCTGCAAGGTTCACACAGGTGTGTGTTAGGACATAAAAACATCACCTGTGTGGTCCAAGTTGTCCTCCAGCCAGCGCTTAGTTCCCTGGTAGTTAAACTTCCCACCACCAGACACAAAGAACAGCAGGTTGTACCTAAAGACAAACCACACAGCTCTATAAGATAAGGATGAACCTCGCCCTAAAGCTCTTCATCTTCTAATGGTTCCATTGCTGTTCTAAATCATCTTGGTGTGATGCTTTTTCCACTCACGCAGCATGCGTCCTCTTGTAGGTATAAAGTTTGGAAAAGAGCCGAGCCAGCTCTAATAACATGGACACCCCGCTACCGTTTGAGTCTGCGCCATACGACAGCCACTACAGGAACAGATCACACTGATTAGTTTGCTCACCCTTTAAAAGGATTTACAAAGAATTGTGTCATTTCCTCAACCGTTACTGTTAGACCACTGACACACTTAAGGTATATAATAGATCATTTCCGCTGCTGTTTTTGCTGAAATAAAAAAAAAAATATATATATATATATATATATATAAAGGTGGTAAACATACTGGAGCAACACCAAAAGTATCATAATGAGCCACCACCACGATAGTGGGCAGGTCCTCCCCTCCAACTCCAGTCAGGCGGCCCTAAAGCAAAGCAAAGGATCATTAGCATATGGACTTATATCTATTTAATTAATTAGCTTATTTTTTTTTACACACCACTTAAATTTTTTTAAAGACACTCTTAGTCTGGAACAGCCCACTGACTGATTAGATTTACAAAAAATCCATTAAAATTACATCTGATTCCAACAACATCTATACTACAGTTTACCTTTAATCTGCATGTAAAGCAATGGAGCAAGAAAAAGGTTTCCAACTTAAAAAGAAACAACCAGCCACACATCTTAATCTCATCAGCACCAAATTTTACAACTGATAGTCAGAAAAACGCTGCTGCAGCCAGTAACCAACCAAACTCCTACATGGATGATGAAGTTTTTACACTTTGATGGGGTGTTTCTTCAGTCGTACAATAAACCCTTTTTTTTTTTCACACCCGAGAGGTGAGATGATCTATAACCAGACCTTACTGCTTCGTAAAAAAGACGAAGACGAAGGCTTGAAGTAGCTGAAGGACAATGGCGCCCACTAGACCCATGGCTGAAATGTGGATATGGCTCATATGTTTACATCCACCTCTTGCCATGTTGTATTCAAAGTTATTACTTGAAAATATTCTATGCAATTTTAATCATATTTCTTTTAAATGGAAATACAGCAATTGCAAAAAAAAAAAAAGGGACTTTTAAAATTAGCAAAATATCAACAAAATTTTGCAGATATTTGTTAGAGAACCGCAGCTAGAGAGGGAGGAGGTTTCAAAGAGGGTTTATCTAATTCCTATTCTAGAGTCCAATGGCGGCACAGTTTACACTGCAATAATTTGTACTTGACCTGGTGATGTAAGGATTGGATGCAGCAGCTTGGCAGTTAAAACCTGTTCCCTGAAACTCTCTGGACTCTCTTTGTTGAGCTAACCTTGACCAATTTTTCCTGACATTGACAAATCTTTAAGGCAAACAATAGCTTTCAATATAATGTGAAATTAATCAAATTACTCAGCAAACATTAATTTAACCGTCAAGTGTCACTGTTTTATCTAATATGTCTGAAATCAGCTGCCAATTACGAAAGACAAATCTGTTCAACAAGTTCAGATACTTTAACTACACCTTTGTGTTTCTGCTTCTCACCTCCAAACTGGTGATAGCCCAGTCACTGATAGCTTTGCTCTGAGCCCCGCTGGTCACCATTTGGAAACCATTTGCTGTGGCTGTGTGCAGCAGCACTTCAAAAAGGAAACACAAGTTGGACAAATTAACCAGGAAGAAAAGTCAAACCAAAATCATCTGATGTTCAAAAACAAAGATTAGGTATCTTTACCTTCAGCTGCAGATAAGGAGCCCTGAGAGGATGAGGATGTGAGGGTTTGGGTGTAGATAGACAGCAGCTCATTGTCCTCCTCTGCAAAGTAGACCGGGACGATGGTCTCAGTGGCTAGCATCTCTGGCTCCAGCTCCATGAACTGCTAAAGTCAGTAAACAGGCAAAAATTACAGCGTTTATAAGATGCAATATATGTTGAGAGAAAAATTATTTGATACGGTCTCTAATCTCTAATCCCTGAAAGATTTCTGAGGGAAAATTTTCCGTACAAAGAACCTTCTATAATGATTTTTCTTTTGTCTAAATATGAGAAATTCATAGTTTCATAGTAAGTCACAGAGGTATGAATAGTCAGGGGGTGAAAGGAATGCTTTAATGAGGAAAATTAGTCCCTTTTAAGATCTTAAAAACAAAGAAAACACTTGGCTTGGTTACACTTTTTAACCTTTTAAACTTTATTTTGCTTCAGATTTAAACATTTAGAAAAGATGAAAGTTGAAGCAATTAACAGAGAAGAGATCAGAGACATTATTTTCTGAAATAAACAGCAATTTATTTGGCTCAAACAAAAAGGAGAGAAGAGACTTTGGAAACTCCATACAAAATATGAGTTTGTGATTCACCTGGAAACAGCTTAAAGGGAATAAATTAGAAATTAAACCCCTGTAATGAGTAGCAGCCATACCTGCACTATGTCTTGCGGCATGGCAGACATGTTTTTGGGCAGGATAATGACCACAGCCCCAGCCGACTGGCGGAGGGCTTTCTGGTACTTGTCGTAAGAGAAATCTGCCAAACGCATGATGACACAGCGACGACTTAGTACCTCCGCCTCCACCGTACGCGCCTCCGTGTTCAGAATGGAGTTCCTGGTCCCTAAATGGAGAGGACAAGCTGCTCATCAACTCTGACAGAAACAACAGTAGTTTGTAGTGTTCTGAAAAACATTTTCGGTTTGACCACTATTGTCCTGATTTATCAATCTCTTATTTATATAGAGAATTTTATCATGATTTAAGCTGTGTTTTTAAGCTGTGGTGAAACATTTATTTTTGCAATATTTGTATGCATTCTAACAGAAGACACTGTTCTGAAGTCTGAACATCGCATGTTCATCCCTGCATGCAACTCGTTAAACAAGTTTAGTTATAAGGAAAGCTGTTTCAGATATTGTGTAAATATCAATCAGTGCAATAAACCACAAAGGACATCACTTTTGATCCACTTAATTATTTTGCACGTTTACATTCACTGCGATGGACTGCGACCTGTCCAGGGTGTACCCCGCCTCTCGCCCATTGACTGCTGGAGATAGGCACCAGCACCCCCTGCGACCCCACTCGGGACAAGCGTGTAAGAAAATGGATGGATGTTTACATTCATAAAATGTCCAAAAATTAACACTATAAGTGCATTTCTTGATTACTATAAACAAATTATTTAAACAGCATTTGTATAGAAATGATTATGTCTCAAGCCTTTTGAACACAATAAACAGTTGATTACTAGATCCGTGACTACTATAAGCGGATTCCAATCGACTAATATTACTGCTGCCAATAAAAATAATCACATCTATGTGACAGTTAGACAACTTTGATGAGTTTGTACATAGTAATCCTGAAACAATCTATTTTCCACTGAAAAAAATGATGATGATAGATAAAAAAAAAAAAAAAAAAAGGAAGTGAGGAAAGCTTTGGTTACAACAAATACCATTATTGCTAAAATCATCAGTTATATCTGAATGGTATATTTAAATAACTGTATAGAGAGATTTCCCAGACAGTTTGCAGATATAATTGTACAGGGAATGATGGTTTAAACTCAACAAAAGTCAAGAAATCCAAACTTATTTGGGTCAAACCAATCAAATCTTTCTCAATCTAATACAGTTGAAGTCAGATTCAGATACATTAAGCTGTTACTAACACTCATCGTTCAAAAAAAGGCTACATTGCATATATTAACATGACAGATTTTATTAATTAATTGCTTATTCCAGTATATTTCTAATATAAAAGAATAAAAATGGTGAAAATCCACCAAACCCATGTAGACATGCCCAGTGCACCGCAGCCAAACATGTTTAACTAAAATAAGGAAACTTTAAAAGGACATATCTGAAGAACAAATTAACCAACCATAGAAATAAGTTTGAATATTTGTAAAAGAATCGTTTATTTGGCTCCAGCCGTCAAATTTAACAGTTTAATCATAGACAGAACATTATTTATAATGAGTTGACAGGGTGGAAAGTCCTGTCAATTTTTTTAACCTCATATTTGAACTGAAATTAGCTAATAAATAATTAACAGCATAAATGACACAAAGGGAGAGAGATGAAGGTGCAGCCACAAACACACACTTCAAGCTAGGTTTCGTTAGCAGCCAGTTAGCTGTCAATGAAGCGTTGCATTAAAGCCGTCTGGAACCGCTACCAAATTGCCACTGAATTAACAATTTTAATCAGTTAGCTAACAAATACACCCATTAAGTTCAAAGAGGATAGGAGAAGAATGACTGCCTCACCGTACGCCTGTCCCTGGAGGTCGTACTGCTGCATGCGGTACACGGTGAACTCATGAGCCGCCTCGGCTGGGAGGGGGGAAACCAAGATCAACACCGCGGGGATAAATACAATAAAGGTGAGGGGAAACGACGATTTAAACATATTATCAAACACTTCACTCGCTTCCTCAAACATTTTGGCGATTGTAATCGGCGTGGAGCGGAGGAGGGCTTGATATTCAGCTGTCACTGCTCTTAGCCAGTGACGGGTAAAACCAGCGAATTTTGATCAGGCACAAAACTGTAAGCCCGTACTTCTGGGATTAAAAAACAAAATAAAACACATAAAAACCCGGGTAATTAAAATATCGATGTTGATATGAAAAGATTAACTCAAATATTGAAGGGAGTAATTTTTTTAATGATAATATTTCAGTTATTAATAATGAAATTGGATGGGTCGTTCAGGGACATTAGAGGGCAGCTATATTTTAAGTTGAAACTGTAAATTATCTTCTGACGCTAGATGGCGCAAGACACCGTGAAATCCACCCATAAATTTTGTTGAGTGGAAACCTTGCGTTACCATCCCGTTAGCGCAGAATGTAATTGTAATTTTTTCCCCTTTATTTTGCTTTTAATATGGTATTTTACAAAACAAAATATAAAAAAGCAATTGAAAAGCTAGGTCCCCTTGCTCATTGCTTTTTGTACAGATTTAAATCCATACAAATCATACTCATTCTAGGCATAAAATATGAATAATTCCAGGTGGAATATAATTATCTAGTTCTTAATACAATGTTCATCTTATTAGAGTGAAATGTTACTACACGTTAACCACTAGATATATCTTTAAATACAATACACAATAATGATAATAATAATCTGTCATTTAAAAATATTGTTAGAAGTCTTTTTATTCAAGTAGGTAATTCATAGACTTGGGAATTTAAGATATATAATTTGAAGGGGAAAAAATGTTAATCCAACTAACAATGAAGCTGTTTTAACCAACCAACTGACAAATCAAGCAACAACAAAATAAGAGCTATTATAGTATCGGGACATACTATAGATATTTAGACTCTCCCATCATTCATATTGTTTGCAATCAGTAATTGATTCAGTAAACTATGTTGTTTCAATTCAACAAATGCAAAAACTTGAGTTATCAAGCATCCCTTTTATAAAAAGAATAAAAAGAATAGATTTATTTGAATACATGCAGTACTTCTTTACATAATAATAGTGATATTGGCTCAAAACACTTGTAAATCTGTTCATTTTCTAATGACATCAAAAATTTTTCCATGTTACCCCAAATTCTCCAGAGAAACAAAGACTGATAAAAATTTAGATACATAAATATTTTTGCAAGACCTCCTGGGAGGTTAAAGAGAGCTAAAAACATGCATCCCTCATTGATTGTTTTTGTAGAGATTTTATTTCTCTATAAACTTCTGAACTAAACTTAATCTTTAAGATCTGATAATCTATAATCTTAAAAACATGTTGACTATATAGAGTTTTAAAAGTTTCTTGGGAAAAAAAAACTGTTGGTGTTTTTAAGATTTGTATTAGGAATGTCTCTGTTCAGTTTTTTTTTTTTCATGTCTCACATATTTGTAGCTCTGATTGGAGGAGGAAAAAATCCCTCTGTGTTCTTGTAAATTGTTTATCTACATTTACTGACTCATCCTACAACTGGGAATTCATATTCTAATATCAGATAATCTAAACTGTCAGTAACATCATTTTTGTTTTTAACAGATGCAACTTAAATATTTTTTTCATATTACAGTGAGATTCCTGCATTTGTTCATTTTTTCCTTTAGATTTGTGCTTATCCTCACTCCTTGGTGGAAGGATGAATAACTCAACAAACTCTTAAAACAACAACAGGTTTGGTTTTACTGTGGATTTTTCTCCCATCTACACAGCTTTGAAATATTCCATACATGTTTACCCCATGGACAAGCTTCTGGCATAATTCTAGCAGGATAGCTTTGTACCAGTTTCCAGGGTTATTTCACATATTTTAATAATTGTTTGTGTTTTTAAAGGTCATCCGAAAAAAACAACAACAAAAAAAAAAAACCCTGGTTTATCTTTTCCAAGCTTTTTTTTTTTTTTTTTTTTTTTACTAGTTGGGGACTTTTATAGGGCTTTGCTAATTCTGTCCCTGTTCTACTGATTTGACCCAAACAAAGCCTCTGATTTGTGAAAATTGTTTGGGATGATTGGTAAAAAACAAGCAAACAATAAGAGTCAGGGTAATCAAGGACGAAGAGTGCTCATGTCCAGAGTGAAGCATGTTTAGACCATAGTTTGAGCAGAATCATCCCAAGGGGTTGTTATGCCAGAACACGGGTGCATTGCAGAAAGTAACTAAAATAGTGGAAAAAGAAAATCAATTTACGGCCAGACGGATTAGAAAAATAAATAATTAATGGGATAAATGTCTCAGATAAACACAAGATTAGGTTTTGGAAAAGGTAGAGCAGGATAACATTAAACGACTGATATTTATAAAGTCAATATTATAAAATTGTTGACAAATGTTTAAAAGCAACGTCCACAGCAGGCTTTAAGTCACCTCAATGAGTTATGGTACAACATACGTTTTTTTTATGGCAATACCAAGTATATGGCCTTTCTGCAGATGAATGAGCAGCTTTTTTAAAATTTTGTTTTCATTTTACAAAGAGAAAAACAATATTTTAAATATTTTATTAAATTCAGTTCATTTAAACATTCACTATTTTCAAAAAGCATCTAAAAAATTGGCTCATAACACATCAGTCATGTCAGCATTAGTTGAATGTCTATCATTAACAAGCCATGCTGCCACTTGTGTCTCTGCTTTGTGTATGTATATGTGTGTATGTGTATACGTGTGTATATGTATGTATATATATTTATATGTACATAGTTTAAATATCTTATTCTATTTTATTAACCTCTGTAGTCCAGCGAACACTTATTCTGTATTTTTAAATCAGTTTTGAGGAGTTATAGCTATTTTTATTTCTTTTTATATTTGTATTTTACATTGTAGCATACTTACTGTTGTGTGTTTTTTTTTTTTTTTTTTAGGTAGACAGTTTTAAGATCTGTCCAAGGACAACAGATGAAAAATAGCCTTTCGGCCAATTCTGGTGCATTTGCAGGAATGCTTTTTAATGTACATTGTCCCTGTCAAATAAATAAATACATAAATTAAAATTTAAAATGATTTAGCACCAATTCGCAACACACATCACCTCAAGACACTTTACAGAGACAATTCAACCAGATTACAACCATACAGTCAGATTGATTCAAAAGAGAGGACCACTCAATTTAACAGGAGGAAACGTCCAGCAGAGCCATGCTCACTGTGAGCGGCCAACTGGCCATTCCGACTGGGGTTCAAGGAGACAGATTCAGACGGTGAAAAAAGAAGCAGAGATATACCGTAAAAGGCATCTGTCAACCAGCTCGACTGGCGGCCCTGTCCAGGAAACACACAGCCACGTAGACGAGCACATCCAGCCAGTCACAGTCAGAGAAACAGGACTACACTGAAAAACAGGCCAAGCTCCAACAGCTATAAACAAACGTGTCTATGGCAGCAGCACAGCTGATATTTCTCGGCAAGATGGTGTCACACCCAAACAGGGACAGACCAGATGAAGCTACTATGATGAAAAAAAAAAAAAGTAAAAAAGCAGAGTGAAAGAGCTGAAGCTAACAGTAAATGTCAAATCTTAAATGTATCCCTTGGTGCAACCCTCCCTCCTTCCTAAAACAACAAAAAACAAAGAGTCTTAATTAAATGCAACAGGCAGCAACTTGAACATAATGTGACATATTATAACATGAAGAATTCCACTCTCAATATGCAAATTTTGACACTCTTTAATCCATCAAGTAAGGGCAGCCTTAGATCATTAAAATGTTAAGTATGTTTTTTTTTCTCCAAGGTTATTTTTTCAGAGGTAAAACATTTTTTTCCAAGAAAAAAATAAAAGTTGAAGGGGAATCATTCTTCCAAAATAAAGGAATGCATATGTCCAACTGTCTATTATGTGTCATTAAATAAGTATAAACCACTTCTTATTTCGAGTTGTGTATCCAAAACGGATTAAATAAATGCATGAATTAAAAGATGAGCAGCTTTTGAACAAGTATCGATCTGTTTGTAAGAATCTATGCCTGTTAATATGTTTTTGACAATGTGTGGTTTCAAGCAAAAACATGGTATATGTAAACTTCTATAATAAATTATTCATTATATTGTTCATTTAACTTCCATATTGCACTTTTCGTCACAAGCTGCAAAAAAACCCAAAATAAATAACAACAAAAATTTAATTTGTATTCAAGCAAAAGATGGACGTTTATGAGTATCTGACCAGAACTGTAAAACGTCAACTTTTTAAAACAGAAACCTTTGTTTCACTATGCTTGTTTAAAAAAATAAAAATGTTTTAGGATGTGAAAAAAAAACATGGAGTAGAGAAGAGCTGCAAACAATTTTCTCTTTTGTCTCCCCTCCATCTTGTTCTCCCTCCTGGGGATCCTCTGCTAAGTGGGAGATTAATGCTGATATGGTGTCCTGCCATCCCACTTAATGGACCTTGGCGTGATTATTTCCTGTACTACGAGTAATCTCTGCCCAAGCTGGTGAGAAGACTGCAAGAAGCAAACAAAGCACAAAGCCAATTGAGGGGGGATGTTGAATTAAACTGATGGAGAAAGTATTATCTGGAGATCCACTGACATGAGCCACTGTTCGCTTGAAGGAAAACAAGCTTGCTGAAGACAAATGCAAAAAGGGACATTTGTTCAGAGGCGAAAAAATGTTCCTGTGTGGTTGGTGCGTGAGCAGCCAAATCACATGAGCCAAATTCCTTAAAATTCATAACATCCTGTTGTCACATGACTGTTTGGACTTGGTGGCCTAGCAGAAGTACACTAAGCCACATGTTCCACCTGGTAACACCTTGTGGTAAGTTCTTACTTTCACCCATATCTTGCAGAGTTGACCAAACAGTACACAGACTCTATGAACTTCTCTTTGTCCAAATGTCCTCACAGCCTCCCTGGCAATGTCCTGGTCCCGTCACACGTTCTGTCTGCTGGCTAACAAGAGGTGTAGTGAGGGCATGCTGGGTTAGGTTCCATGGATAAATGAGAGATTATATATCTGCCCACAGACCTCCCACTCCCTTATTGGTTTGCTGCCTTTTTCTCACTCCTGCTCAAACACTGACCGCACTGAATCGCTTCGAT